TTGCGTAAATGATCACATCAAAGCTTCGCATAATAGAAATGATAAATGCGTATAATATGATGCATTATATACATACATAGGGCAATATTATTCTCTTGATATTATAATTAATCCGGACGATTGGTTCATTAAGTCAATTTACATATCCCAGTATTATATTGTAATTATTCTTATAATATGAAGTATTAATATTACAAAGTATTAATACGAAGGGAAGATAGAATGCCGACTTATTACTGCGTTTTATTTCGTCGAAAAAATATGAGTTATGGTTTGATTTGTCGTTCCATATTTACTCGAGAAATCTATAGATTTCTCTTAGGGAATTATCACGTATGTTTGTTTATAGTTACAGAATTCCATGATGCTATTTTTCTTTTCCGGCAATTTCGAGCTTGGTAAATAACTGAGGGAATTTTACTGCAATTTTATTTTGTTGAAATAGCAAAATAATTTCATAATTTTTAGCGCGTTAAATAATGCCTGATATTTCTATGAGGGTATCCTATCTATCGATAGGAACTCGATGGGAAGAGAGCAATTACTCTGAGATTACTCTACATAAGAGTATCATTTATGTCGAAAAACGCGTTTTGAGATTATAATTCTTTGGCGAGACGAGCTGATCAAACGGTCGCAATCTGCCGTCGTATTGGCTTGCGCTAATGCTCTTACAGCTCAATTTTTGCGAGATTAACCATGTCCGCCGGCGACAACGGGGCTTTCATATTGTGCGTCATCCCATTGTCTCGTAAATCGCGTCTCTGTTTTATTTTCGTATTCCTGGATGGCGAATACAGGGTAAATGCACCGCGCGCGCGATACACCGTCGCGATAACTGCAGAATGCATTTAAATGCATCTACAATGTCGGCAAAGTTGCGACAACGGACAATGTATTGCGGAATCGGCCTCGGTTGCATTAGTTGCCACTTTATCGCGCGTATGGAAACATTTCATTGAAAAAGACACAGCTGACGCATGCATCGGCGAAAGTTTCCGTCTCGGATCTGCTAACGGCGCGACTTTTCCCATAGCTTTTTTGAAGGAAATTTCATTAAGTTTCGCAGATTACAAGTAAAATATTTTTTATCGTTTTTTTTTTTAAATTTAAATTAAAAATATTTTTTTCTTGAAGCGTATTTTATGATACTGATGATAAATTGTACAGAAGCAATATAAATTGAAATAATTCGTGTTTCTAAAAAAAAAAATGTAAAAATATGATTGACTTGCAGGTAAAAGACAAATGTGTATTATGAAAGATTTTTTATTTAATTTATAATTAAACTAATCATACGAGATGGCGTTCCAAAGTGACTGCACATTAGCTTTCATATGATCAGCTGAAACTGTCCAATATTGCTCAGAATTCTATAAATATCGCCTGGAATAATGTTTGCGATAAGCGATTGGCGTTCATTCGGATTTAATCATGCGTAGCTCTTATCATCATGCGTGCGTGGATTTTGTCATTCGCCACGATCACATACGATATAATAAAGAAGGAATCGTTGATTATCGATGTCAATATCGTTTGTCAAACAAACACAATCGAGAACAATAGAATCCACCTAAGAAAGTAGAATATTTTCGTAGCTGAATATAAAATTCATTCCTGTTACCACGGCACATATTTCATAGCCGAGAAATGAACATTTAATAACTTGAAATTAATGCAAAATGATAAATTAAAAAAATGAGATAATTGAATTGTGATATAATTGCGCAGTCACATTTCGTGGAATCGAGATTCCTTTTTTTTCTCTATTATTGCCTCGTTACTTGAGAAATAATATTTTTTTTATTTGTTATATCATAACGAGACAGCTTCTAATATATATTATATAACGTTGTTATAAATAAAAAAAAAGTAATAAAGAGAAAGAACGGCGAAAAGAATAACAAGATTGAGTTTTTGCTAATGAAAATCCAATTAGTAAAGAAACACGTCTCTCGGTATCTCTTTGTAATTTTATGATATTTATGAGAGATATACATCGAGATTGATTCATATCATTCTTAAGGGCGAGCAAATATTTTTCGGCGTGTGGCCATTCTGCTCCGTAGACAAACGGAAAGTAAAAGCTCTTCAGCCCCGTAAAGACGGAGGTAAGAGAGAGAGAGACCATAGGGACCGCGAGGCTAAACGATCGACACAGCTACAGTTTTCTGGATCGAAACTCGATTATCGCATTATTAGATTCACCGCGGTTACGACGGCACTACCGGGGACAATTATCGGGAACGTATTTTCTAGGAAAATAAATTTTTACATCGCGGACTAACGACGTTAACCGCGGCGGTATTCTTAGCATAACCTTACGTTGCCACATGGTTTTCCCTCCTTTTTTTTCTAGATATGATTTGATTTATCCCGCCCACCTCGTTCGGCGAAGGGTTATGCTTAAGTAAGTCGGGGATGCGATAAATTCGACGAAATGACGTAGATTTATAGCGGCTTCTTCCGGGCACAGTAAAGCGAAGACGACGGCGCCAGAGTCGTCTAATCCGCATTAATGGCGACCGGGGAAAATTAAACGCGAACTTTACGTATTCTCGGAACGTTAACTCTATATGTCTTCTTGTCTTTTGTTTACTTTCAATGTTCTGGATATGGAATTAAACCGTGAAAATGATAATGGACCATTTAATAGACATTATGAGTGGGAATGACTTGAAAAACCATATAGTTCGAGAAATATAGAGGTTTATGTTGCCAGTGGACAAACAAGAGCAGCTTTCAAAAGCTTCTCAAATGATTGTGTGTGTGTGTGTGTGTGTGTGTGTATGTGTGTGTGCATGTACGAGGATATGTGTATATAAAATTATTACTATTATTATTAAAAATATTAATTTAATATATAGAGATTATTTATATTTCTATCTATAAATTTTAATAAATGTTTTATGCAAAATATTAAACAAAACAAATTTAAAAAGAAAATAAAAATTATGAATTTCGCATTTTATTTATGTACTTTATTGTAATAGGTAATTAAAATGTGTAATATAATAACTCGAATTTGGTATTGTGAAAGAGAAATATAGCGTTCCATGACACAGAATCATAAACGTGTGATCTTTCACGGGCGAAAATAAATACATGGATATATATAGAACACCAGCCTGTGGCCATCAATTATTTCGAACTGCGAATCCAATTATCCACCTATACCATAAGGCACTATTCAAAGAGAGAGTTGTAATTATACCGCAATAAAATGCTGATTGAATAAACTCCAAAAAGAGAAAAAAAAAGCGACCTGCAAAAATCCGTAGAGATAAAGAAGACAGAATAGAAACTACAGATATAATTTCTTAACGACTACAAATCAGGTTTGGTTTAGCGGATTTAAAGACGTTATATCGTACGGAACTGCTTTAATATAGTTAATATTAAAGCAATATATTTAAGTATATTACAAATATATTTATATTATTCAAAGTCTCTCACAAAATTAAATTTATTCATTAGTTACCAACTCGTATTCTTCAACTCGTATTCGATTCTCTTAAATCTCACCTAAGTCTTCCGTCGCTGATAATCAACCAGTGTAAAATATTATTACAGATATTCCGCGTCATTAGACTAAAGATTCCACTTGGAGCTCATGCGGCAATTCGAAAGCCTCCGCTGCAACGTTAGCCGCTACGTTGAGGGGGGCGCGCTGTTAAACTGCAGAACGAGAAAGCTGCCTTCACCCATATACGTTATCATCGAATAGCGGACGTTCTTCATGGGTCGCGAGTTGAATAGTTTGTTAGCCGAGAAACGCGCCAACTTTTCTCCATATTCCGGAGGGGCCATTGTTTCGTCTCTCGCGCTTTCAACCACCTCCGCGGTCTCACTCCCTTTTCACGTTACTTGGCGTTTCATTTAACGGCGAACTTTCCACGTCTTGAAAGATACTTGGAAAGATACGAGCCGCCCACGGCGGTTTCGGAAACAATATTCACGTTGCACAGATAAATGTAAGACAACGATGATCGCTTAACCGCACTTGTCGAATTAATTGCGACGCGAAATTTGCGAATCTCATTCTCGAAACCCGTACGGATGAGCTTTCTTTGAGATAGAAATTGCCTCTCTAATAGCCAATCTTTGCGGCAGTTATTTGGTAACTCGTAACACTAGTTTCAGGTTTATGAAACAAATATTTTAAACTAAAAACCGAACGATGGCTGAGAGAAAAAATAAAGCATAGTTTTGATAAAATATGTGATTACCACTTTCTATCTTATCCATTTCCTATTCTATCTTATCGAAATATAGAAACATGTAAATAACTATTGATAAAGCTGCAGTTGTCTCAAGTAAAAACTTCAAATAATTTTCACGTGGCATTTCACTTGCGTGCTCTTTTGTCAGTCACCGCCACAATTATTGCATATTCGCGCAAAACTCATGCTTGAATTTTGCTCCGCCGAATTAGAATACCACGTGCATTTCGAGACAGCTGTTTGGTGCTCAACCCGGTTGCGGTAGTGTATAAGGTGGTAGACGAGATTGTTCGCAATCAGGAACGTTTCTCTCCCGCGGTTTGCCACCCTTTAATCCGCAGATGTATGCACGGCGAAACGTATCCATTGGACATCGTCGTATTTTCCATTAAACGATGCTGGAGCCCAATAGCAGAACGAAGGGACGGTGAATATTACAGGATTATGTATTACAAAGGGACACGTCTCGTGTGTGTGTGTGTGTGTGTGTGTGTGTGTGTGTGTGTGTATGGACACGTCGCTTTGTATTTACCCGTCTTAATCTCATTTGCCGTGTTTTAACGCTAGATGCAATCTGAGATGCCCGGCTGTATGCAGCAATGTAGGAATTCAAATCTCCGGACGAGATTCGCATACAGCGAGATTCATATATAAATGCACGTCATCGTTCTGAACTTATTATACCGAGTGCTTAAGTCACCTCAGTCAAAAATATTGCGTCTATATGATATAATGTGTAAATTATCATTACGAGCAAATACGATTGAATTGCTTCAGATGCAGCCCAAGATGACCGTCTTGTGCACGCTACTGACGTTCGTAGTCATCGTCGCAGCTTCGAGTCTCACAGCCGACGCAATACCGCATAGGTAAATTTTATTTTAGTAGTTTTAATTAATTTAGTATTTTATGGACGACAAGTCAAAACGAAAAAGCGTGGAACACGCTTGATGAATATTAATGAAGTATTAAAAAAAATTAATAAAATACCATGCATCGAGTTTTATGCATAAAATATTCGCGAGCTTTTTCCTTTTCTTTTTCTCCTTTTGAAAAAAATATTTATATTTACAAATAATCTTGTATAATTTACTTATTATACGAGAAGGATTTATTTTTATTTTTGGAAAAGGACGAACGCTACGAGTAAACTTTTTAATTAGCGGGCCGTTGGCTTTATCACTCGAATCCAACGATATATGTGGAATAAATTTTTTAAATAAATCCATAGAATCAATGCAAATCGCAATTGCCCCGAGAGCGTATTTACAATTAAATGAATATATTGGACGAGAACCAGAAGTGCATCTGTTCGAACAGTTTAACCCAGTTCCCATTGAATGACACATCAGCCGATAGAAAAGACCATCCTGTGTGCTAACTGAAAGTGACTCGCTAAACGACGTTTCCTACAATCGTGACGGATAATTTCGAATTGCATTCAGGCATATTTTTCAGGCGTTAACGCCATTTCCTATATTATATTTCGTTCATATTTTTATTATTCGCACGTTATTTATTTCAATTTCTAGAATTCCTTCCTTACGAAAAAAAAAAAAAAAAATAGAAATTTTACGAATATCATATAAATTTTAATTGTTTTTTTTTAAATTAAATTTATACTTCTTATCTCGCAAAATTCGATGCTTGTTGTTACATACGGATCTTACAATTATAGTAATCGATCAATTTCGATTTTGCGCAGCCATGAAAGTTATTGGGATCAGCAAGACGACATAGATCGAGACGAATTCCTAGAGATACTCTCTCGTCTTAGTCGCACCATGAACCGCCCTGAGATGGAAAAGTAAGCATTATTATAATCTTCTTGACGTCATTAGATGCTGCTTGGCATAAGATATTAATTTTGTTATAACCTAATTATGCTTATATGTAATATTTATTGCTTTTGTCGATGATGCGATTGATTTTTTAAGAAAACTTATTAAAGACATTAAGCAATAAGATTTAGACCTCAAAATAAACTTTGATATGACAGAAAATATTCGGAACGAATTTTGAAACTTGTTCCTCCTCTAGATGCTTCGGACGGTGTATATTCAAAGTGTTATTTTTCTGCTGTTATTTCTTCCGTGTTCGCTACTCTCCCCGCAGCGACTCTCTTATTTGCCTTTAATTCCACCAGTTATAAATGGATCATTCATTTTAGGAAGGGCTTATCTTTATTTTAAAAATATCGATAATGGATTTTCAATGTACGTGTCCTTTTTTACATCGGCACACATTTCGTATATAGAAGAGAGAGCTTCGTTCCAATCAATTGACACAAGAGCCGAGAAGAGAAGTTCGACGGAATCGAATGTCTGACTTCTTCTTCGAACGTAGCCACAATGCTACTTGGCTTTTTGCTACGCCTCTCGAAAGAACGAAGCGTTTCTCGGGGCGCGAGGCCCTTTCTAGGATGAATGAGTCCGAAACGAATCCGATAACATGATAAACCGTTTCGATCCGTACGTCCGCAGTACCAAACGAGGATTGGATCTGGGTCTCAATCGTGGCTTCAGCGGTTCCCAAGCTGCGAAACACCTGATGGGGCTCGCGGCGGCGAACTACGCCGGCGGTCCCGGACGGAGGCGTCGCTCGGAACAGGCGTAGATCGCTCACAAACGATCGCTGATGCAGAGAGATATTGAACTATACAACTCGTAATAATGCCACTCCCGACTCGATCCTTCCACTTTGTCTCTACCTCGAGCTTGAACCAGCACGATCTCAAAATCGTCCGTTGCCAGTGGCGTGACTAAGTGCACTCGGGCCATTAATTGCTCCTCCGTCCCCTCCCCCTTCCCCCCATCTCCCCTTAATCCGAATAAACCTATATAGAGTGTGTATAGACGTATACACTTTCAGCAAAGCGCAAATAGTATAAGTTCCTTATCAATCAAAAATTACGATTATAGATATAATTAAAATTGACTAAGTATTTAATCGATCTTCTATTCTTCCCCACTTTCTCCTCCCCTCCGCCCTTTGCTCCTTGAACTTTGCACATTCCTTCTTCTTCTAGTTACACCACTGGCATTTCGCCACTGCGTTGCTAAATTACTTCTTGTTTCGTAGAAGCGAATGCAATAATGTTGCCTTTGGCGGAAGCGCTTTTATCTAAAATGAATTTGAAGTAAAAATACTTATGCATCTTTTAAATCATATAATGGATACAAATTGCGCCATTAAATAAACCATTTATGTTTTATATCAATTCAATCTAAATACGAATCACGATTCAATTAAAAATTGATTAATAATAAATTACTCATATATTAATATCAAGATCTGTTTACAATGATTTTGTCAATTAATTTTAGATAAACAAGGACAGATAGGTCCGGTCCGTTCTCATGAAATATTTCCTTCCTCGCCCATCTTTCCCTCTTCACGCGGAAAAACAGGAAGGTACCGGCAGGAAGCATTCTCGCCAGGTATCGTTATTGCGTTTTTTTTTCGTCCGCTATATTTATTTGTTACGCGTGAGCCGCGTACGGATTAGCAACTTTATTCGTGCCGCAAGAGAAATGAAGTGAATAGACGTAGCATTTCGCTGATCCAACAAGAGGGCTCCTTCGAGTCGCGCCTCCGCGAATCGATGACGCTCCACTTCCGGGCTGCATTTATTCTAGTCATTACTGTCTGCAATTGAAATCACACACCGCGACGAGTTCCCCCGAGCGAACTCCGCGCGGAGGAGAGAGAGAGAGAG